GGGTGTTCTAGCCTCCAGGCTTTTTCTGGCAGGAAGAAGACATGAGGACGCAAGTAAGGCCTTCTAGATTCTTAAGTGCAGCCTTTTGACTGAATCCAAATTTTATAGAACAAATCCTTTTATTAAAAGGGATACAGCAGAGAAAGATGAAGTTTTTCTTGCCTCCTTTGGTGCTTAAAAAAGAGCAATCTTGAAATCAAAACGCAGCAGGTTCCCCCCCCATGACAGGAAATGAGAAGAGGTCCTGGGCCAAGGCAGGGAGATGAGCAGACCTTAGGCTTAATTAAGGACCAAACTGCAAGACAACCTGCTTGGGTGGGGCCTGGGAAAGCTTGCTTTGTCTTGGCTTCAGCAGTCCTAAGGCTTCATTCAAACTAATTTTTTCCACACTTCTTACTCGTGTTAAGGAAATGGAAAAAGACCGACTGTTTCAACCACTGCACTGTGTGGATCTCACTATTGAAGCTGGGGCTATTTTGGTATCAATAGAAATAGAATATGTAAGTGCCTTGCATAAAAAATAACATTCCCACTACCCTCAAGTCTCCTACCTCATCCTGTAGGCACTGGCCAAGAGCAACAACTTCAGAAGTGTAGACTAAATGTAGTTTAGGGCACTCCATGGTGAATAGGTGGACAGCAAGAAGTCTGTTTTCATACTGATGCTATACATATACAAACAGGTACTAGCCTGGTGTCTGCCTGTGCTTGATTGTCATGTGTGGTTCCTTGTTTTCCTATCACTGATGCATCTGGTAATTGAAAGGGACCCATAAACCTTCACCTTGTCATCTGTCAATGGACCAAAAACAATAACCTGACTTTTCATCTTACTTCTCAAGGAATTCCATCATCCTGTCTCTGGTTCTGAACTTTGTAGTGGAGAATGAGAATTTGGGGACCCTGGGGATACATGTGAAATTTAACACTAGGAGTTCTAGTCCTTGTTCTGTCAGATCTTTGAAAGTTCACGTCTGCCTGAATTAGATAAGAAATGGAATCTAGTGCACAAGTTGTCTCTGGAGGAGTGAGCATGGGACCTTGCTAAAGAGGTGTGTTTTCAAAATCAGGTGGATAGAAGTCCTTGCCTTCCTTTTTGAGTACACAAAAATACCAACAAAGGTCTTAAAACTGGTTGTTTTCAGCCTAACTTAAAGAATGGATAGGTTGTACAGTATTTTTTACTTAATTCCAGATACTCCTTCAACAAAGGAAACAAAACCTAGTTCACTTGAGGAGAGGTAGAGAAAAGACTAGGAGTTAGCACTCTGCCTTCTGTATTAAACAAAAGTTTAATTAGGCTAATACAGTTTACTTAAACATTCCAATCCTCAGGTAGGGGCTGAAGCAGTAATTGTAGAAATGGGCTAGTATCTCAAAGCCAGGCCTCAAAGTTGCCCAGCCTGACCTTAGGCTATGCAAACAGCCAAGAGGGCAGGCTTGGTCAAAGTCAACTAGGAGTTAAAAATCCATCCAGGGTAAATAGTGGCTTTAGTACTAACACAAACCACCATATAAACCAATAGGGTCACAATGCAGACCCAGTCCTACTGTTGAATATTTTAACACAGGCTATTTAATATAAATGAAAACTTATAGAAGCTGAATTGTCAGCACATATTGTAAACTTAGTAGTTCAGCCTTGCCTCACTTCTGCTGCCTCACTGGTCTAACTAAGCAAAAAAAAAAAGCTTTAGCAAGGGACTGCTTTGCTTGCCCCCATGGAGTAAGGCCACCTATGCTTTTCATCCCAGCAGGATGGTATTATTTCAGATTTCATTCACTTTCAACATTCAGCAGTTTATCCAGCGACAAATTTAAAAGGCCAAGGTTGATTAAAAGTCATCCATAAAAGAGAAATGAACAAATTTAACACATTGGCTAGAAAAGCAGTAACTTTTGGAGAAAATCTCAATGCTAGACTTAGTCAAACCAAGGTGATGTGCAGATCCACAGAGACTGACATTTGTCTTGGAATCTTTTATTATTCTCTATCAACTTCCATAATCCTATACCTGAAACACAAGGATGCCTCTTCCTGACAATTGTTTCCTAGTGCTAAAAGCCAAGACTCCTTTACTAAGTTGAATGCTGGCCTGGTAGTGATAGTTCTATTTCAATCAAATTATGGAAGGGTTTCAGGCATAGTGGCTCACTGTAATCCCAGCACTTTGGGAGGCTGAAGTGGGAGGATTGCAAAAGGCCGGGAGTTCAAGACCGGCCTGGGCAACATACCTAGACCTCTTAAAAAAAAATTTTTTTTTTAATTAGCCCTGTATGGTGGCATGTGCCTATAGTCTCAGCTACTCAGGAGGCTGGGGCAGGAGGATCGCTTAGGCCCAGGAGTTTGAAGTTGCAGTGAGCTATGGTCATCCCACCACACTTCTGCCTAGGCAACAGAACAAGACCCTGTCTCAAAAAAAAAGAAGAAAAAATTATGGAAGGGGAAAAACACTGAGCCTGGACTTAGTTCAGTCCTATCAGCTAGCTGTAAGTTTAAAGTGAGGATGTCCGCATTGGAAGACTTGCACATCACATCAATCCCAGCCCAATAGGAGCTATTGCAGAAAGAGCCAGATTTGGATTTCAGAGCTCTACTTCCACCAAATTCTTTTGCAGTAGCAGTCTCCTCTATCATTTTCCCTTTTACTTTACTATGAGATAAATAATTGCCTTATATTGTAGATTCCCAATGCCACAGTCCATGGACTATGAAGATGTGATGAGCACACATGGACAAACAACAAATGGTCAAGGGTAAAAGTCAAATTGAACCTAGTCTATGACCACCATAGAATTGAGTTCTGAAATATAAGATTATATCTGAAAACAAGTTTAAAAATTCAATTACTTAAAATTATTTGAAATTGGTAGTGAGATTTTTTCAAACAATATTAAATGCAGAACTATTATTCCTCAGCACCATCAGTTGTTATAGTCTGTGGTCATTATGCTGTCCATTTACAGTACTAAGTAGAAATCCAACTGAAGACAGTAGAGGACCAAGATTTTTTTTGACAGGCTCTGCCAGTATAGGATACCTCAGATAATGATGTCACTATATTAGTAAGCTCTCCTTTTCTAATAGTTTCTAAGGTAATCCTGGGCAAGAGGTCTATGATGGTGTAATTTCATGGAAGCCATCCAACAAACATGTTTTTGCACTGCCTGAAGAAATGTCCTCTGAATACTTTTTGAAGCTGACTTAAGATTTGTTGTGCCTACTTATACTTATTTCTAACATTTCTGCATTTTGGCCTCCACTATCACTTAAGAAAAATGTATCCTTAAACCTTAGATCTAGAAATGTGATAATTAGCTTTTGAAGATAACAAAACTGTGAAAATTGTGAATATGTATCTTCATTTCTTTTTTTTTTTTTTTTGAGACAGAGTCTCACTTTGTTGCCCAGGCTAGAGTGAGTGCCGTGGCGTCAGCCTGGCTCACAGCAACCTCAATCTCCGGGACTCAGCGATCCTACTGCCTCAGCCTCCTGAGTAGCTGGGACTACAGGCATGTGCCACCGTGCCACCATGCCCGGCTAATTTTTTGTATATATATTTTTAGTTGGTCAATTAATTTCTTTCTATTTTTGGTAGAGACGGGGTCTCGCTCTTGCTCAGGCTGGTTTCGAACTCCTGACCTTGAGCAATCCGCCCTCCTCGGCCTCCCAAAGTGCTAGGATTACAGGCGTGAGCCACCGCGCCCGGCCTTGTATCTTCATTTCTATTTTCACTGTAATGCATATTAATTTTAGTGTCTTCCCTGGGGGAGAATGACAGCTTTTACAGTAATTCAGGAATACCAAAAATGACAGTGAAGTTGCTTCCAAAGGTGAGGCTAAAGATGAACAGTAGCCCATTTTGGACATACACCAAGGCTGAAGTCGTATTTCAGCACATCTGATGGTGAATAGAATCAGAACGCCTCTACCCATCTCACCCAAACTCCCTTAATTAGCTACTGATGACTGCTATCGCCAGTGACCACAAGAACCAACTTAGACTTCTGTACAGAAGTCCATGACCCAGACGTTTAATATGGCTCCCCAGCTCTACTTTTATCTCCCTAAAACTTCCCCTAGGAGGCTTTCTGAAAACAAGTATTTACACATCAGTTTATCTGAAATAAATTCTTTATACTACTGAGTAGAGTTCAACTGTTACACTGACTTGAGCTCAGCGGAAATACTATTTCCCTTTTTAAAAGAGTCTAGCCCCATTTTGGCTCTAGAATTATTGGCAGAAAATAACATTAAGAAAATGGATGACATTTTAACTCAATGCTCAAACACAGAGCCAATTCCTGAACATTTTGGAGAAGCTTATTTTAGCTAAGGTCATATCTGTTACATACCAAAGCCAGGAACTAAACCCAACTCCAAAACCCATGTTTCCAAATATATCATAGTCTGGAAGTGCTATTAGGTGACAGAATACTCAATAAATAAACTTTCAGCAATATTGGAGACAGAATGATGTGACAATCTTTACAACCTCTGTAGCAATTATAAATGCTCAATAGGTATTTACTAAATTAACACAGTAAGACCACTTAAAGATTCAGGCCAGGCAGGGCATGGTGGCTCATACCTGTAATCCTAGCACTTTGGGAGGCCCAAATAGGAGAATCATTTAAGGCCAGGAGTTTGAGACCAGCCTAAGCGAGATCAAGAACCCATCTCTATTAAAAAATAGAAAAATCAGCCAGGTGTGGTGGTGTGTGCCCATAGTCCCAGCTGCTAGCCAGGCTGAGGCAGGAGTATCACTCAAGCCCAGGAGTTTGAGGTTATAGTGAGCTATGATGATGCCACTGCACACTAGCACCGGCAACAGAGTGAGACCCTGTCACTCCGGGTCAGGCCAGACAGGAACCAGATTTTCAAACCTACAGTGTTCAAGAAATAAAAGCATCCAAGTGTGGAAGCCATTTCCAACAGGCTGAACATATAAAGCAATAAAAGACAAGGATTTCCTGGTAAGACTTAATCAAGACAGAAATCGGGGATTATAAATCTATAGTTTTATTAAGACAAAAACTGACAGTGTGGTATGAAGTTTACATTTAAACAAAGTTTTCACAGAAATCTAGCACATGCCTAAAAAGATTTTACAATGTAGCTCTAGTTGCAATTCTAGATGATGTCAAGAATTGATGGATTTTGTGATTCAAAGACAGAGCATTTGGGGTATCATTTAATTCTTAGGATTTTTTAAAAAATGTTTTTTGTTTGTTGTGTTTTACAGTGAACCACTGCCCCAGTATGAAAGTTTAATCTTCTCCTGAGACCAGGGCTTTTGAAATCATTCAACTCTTGAACTGATTCAATGAAACTTGTGCTGTCAGTGACTGAACCCTACTATCCAATGGTTTTAGGGTTCAAAGTTCAAACAACAACAAAAACCAGAGAGGCTCCAAGAGTTCTCTGCCCTAAGAGCATGGGACCTTGTCTTCCCTACTCTCCCATCTCCAAAGTTCAAAGAAAGAAAGAGAAAAAAAAACCACAACAGAGAGGCTCCAAGAGTTCTCTGCCCTAAGAGCATGGGCCCTCATCTTCCCTGCTCACTCTTCCATCTCCTGTACCACCCTCTTCCCCAACACCTCAGCCAGTGGCTTGGATGAACAAGCTATTTATAACTTCATACCTGGAAAAGAAAGGGTCGTCTTGTTTAATTTCAGGAATTAGCACCTCTAGGACAGAATGATCTGCCGATGTATACTCTCCAATACAAGATTTCCCCTTAATCAGTTTCCATCTCCAAAATGGCAGCTTTGGTAACTTATGAGCTGGCTTAGTACTTTGTGGGGAACAGTATTAAGCTCAGGCAGGGAACACCTTGGCTTATAGGTTTCAGGCATTCACAGCTTTTAAACAGTCTCTCACAGTCCTCATTCGTGGTGTCAATGACATTTTTTGAAAAGGTAAAATATTATGGACATAGAAGCAAATCATTAGTTGTCTGTTCTTTCCATTATTTCACCATTTCCCCAATCAGGCCCTAAATTTTAACCAAAATGATCCTACTTATCTCCCTTCTTTCCCATCCCATCCCTCCCACCCCCAAATAATACACCAGTAATAGCCAAAAACTACACACATGCTACGCTGTAAAAATGCAGAGTTAACACTATTGGGAAGAAGGCTGTGGGTTGTGGAGATGCTCTTTGAAGATCTACAGTATCTTTTTGTTCTCCCACACACCCAATTCTACAAGTTTTGTCCTTCATAGAAGGCCCTTTGCTTTTCTCAACAAAGTGCAGAATGGGCTGCCTTGAAACACTTATCCCCCTTCCTCTCCACTGGGATGGTGTGCAAACTATACAGCTTGAACGGCGTTAAAGCACTTTGGGCTGCTGCAGGGCACAGAAACTATACTGGCTCTTCAAAGGACATCTTCTCAAGCCACCTCTATGGTGTCAAGACAAGTAAAACTCCTTCCCTCCCCACTTGAAACCCACAGTCAGATGTGACAGGGGCTGGTACTCAGGAGAGTTAATTCTTGTCATCTTTTTTGTCATCATCCTCCGAGGGGTAGGAATGCCACGTCAGCCTTTCCTCATAGAAGGATATGACAACCTGTGGGCACTTGACATTGGCTTCCTTGGCAGGGACCAGGTCAGCCTCATCAGAATTTTTCCTGCAGAACAAAGCACAGAGAGACTTTGAGACCAGATGCTGGTGGTCTATCCTAGCAAGAATAACACAAAGGACAGGGCTTTAAAAATTATTAACTCCAGAAAATAAGCTATAAAAGGGTGAAAACATGGTCCAAGCAGCATTTACTGGTAGCTTTTAGTCAAGTGACATCCTCAGAGATCCTCTCCTGCTGAAAATCCCTTCTGGGTATCTTTGTCAAAATCTAGGACAGCTGGACAGGTGGGTGTGGTGGTTCATGCCTGTCCAGCACCTCAGGAGGCTGAGGCAGGAGGACTGCTTGAGGACATGAGTTCAGACCACCCTAAGCAACAGTGAGAACCTGTCTCTAAAAAAAAAAAAATGAAAAAAATTAGCAGGTATGATGATGTATGCCTGGAGTTCCAGCTACTCAGGAGGCTGAGGAAGGAGGATCCTTTGAGCCCAGGAGTTCAAGGCTGCAGTAAGTTATGATCGTGCCATTGCACTCCAGCCTGGGCAACAGAGCAAAATCCTGTCTCAAAAACAAACACACAAACAAAAAAATCAAACTAAGCTGCCTGACTCAACCTATCACATCTGAACTTCTGGGAAAAGCCAAAAAAAGCATGACTCTCTAAGATACTCTGAGGGAAGAAGAGAGGCTACCATCCTCTTCTAAAAGCCCCATCCCAGCTGATAAGAACCCATGGAAAGATATTGGCTTTATAACAGGATTTAGTACCAATCTGGCATGCCAGAGACAACGAAGGTGGACACTTTCTTGCTTACTCGTAATTACACTGTTTGACATTACTGGATGCCATCCTCATACAACCCCCAGGTGCTCTGAAATGGTGCTTCAACACTGGGAGATAGGCCAGCGTTGTGGCTCATGCTTATAATCCTAGCACTTTGGGAGGCCAAGGTGGGAAGATTGTTTGAGCTCAGGAGTTCCAGACTAGCCTCAGCAAGAATAAGACCCCATCTCCACAGAAAGAAATTAGCTGGGCATTGTGGTGCACAAAGAAAAAATTAGCCAGGCATGGTGGTGCATACCTGTAGTCCCAGCTACTCAGGAGGCTGAGGAAGAAGGGTTGCTTGAGCCCAGGAATTTGAGGTTGCTGTAAGCTAGGCTGATGCCACGGCACTCTAGCCTGGGCAACAGAGTGATACTCTGTCTCTAAATACATACATACATACTGGGAGTTAGAATATGATGGGGCTGTGACATAATTCTCTCTTTTTTTCTGAAATATAAAATGTTCTCAAATTTCACACATTATAAGGGATTAGCAGTAAACCCTTATCTTCAGGTCAATAGGAGTATCCTAGATGGAAGCAGTAGCACAGGGCAGCCAGGAGATACTTCTGACAAGGCGCCCTCCAAAACCTCCAGAACCCCAGCAATAGGAAACCAGAGAAAAGTAAGCTGATAAGTATGTTTCTGAGCAAGGAACCCAAGAGAATGGAAGCAAATGGACTATAACAGTACGGGGAACCTAAAGCATGTTGCCCTTTGTTGACAGTTGAACAACCCCCTCTGAGATAAATTTAGTCATTTCATTGCACAGAAATACTCGCTACTTTTAGAAATGGACAAGTATCTCCATCCTCCAGGAAAAATCACTGTTAAAAATGAAACTGGTTTATAATCAACATCCAATTTTAACCTGTAGGCACAGTTGTGAGTCAAAATCAAAGGAGTACAATCTTAAGCAATTAACTAACACTGGTCACATGCAGAGAAAGTACATTTTAGCTAAACCAATGAAATTCTGTATCAATTCTTTCCTGCCATAAGCACCTTAAAAATGAACTTTACGGCTGGGCATGGTGGCTCATGCCTGTAATCCTAGCATTCTGGGAGGCCAAGGTGGGAGGATTGCGTAAGGTCAGGAGTTAAAACCAGCCTGAGCAAGAGTGAGACCCCGTCTCTACTAAAAATACAAAGAAATTAATTGGCCAAATAAAAATATATAGAAAAAAAGTTAGCCGGGCATGGTGGCGCATGCCTGTAGTCCTAGTTACTTGGGAGGCTGAGGCAGGAGGAGCGCTTGAGCCCAGGAGTTTGAGGTTGCTGTGATCTAGGCTGACGACACGGCACTCTAGCCAGGGCAACAAAGTGAGACTCTTGTCTCAAAAATAAAAAAAAAACATGAACTTTTCTCCTAGAGGTTAATAAATCAGCTAAAAGAGGACCAGATCCAGTGAATGCATAGGAAACAAACAGAGAGTTAACTAGTTATGACACAGGCTTTCAGTGGTGCTAAAGTTTGGCCTCTTCAGCCATCTTCTTAAAGGAGAAGAGTTAATACGGATTTAAGTTTCAGAAAAGGTTCTAAACTGACAAAAGGAAAAAGCCCCTAGAATGCTGCCTTCATTGGCAATGGCTTAGAATTATTCTCTCCTAACTTTATATTTTAAGGAAAATGACTGAGATCTACTTTAAGGGGAAAATAAAGGCACAAGCATTTTCAACAAGAGAAAGCAAAGAAAGGCTTGCTTTTGGACAGAGTAGGGAAATTATAGAGAATTTGGGGTTAATCACAGTTCTTAAGAGTCTCAAGATATCTATCTTCATTAAGCTGTTTCATGGAGTATTACTATCATTCGTATTTATATGCATAGTGGAAAAAAGCAGGCTTGCTCTTGGCTCAGTAACACTTAAGGATCCTTGCTGACCCCTGCTGGCTGAGTTTGGAATTGTAGAATCTGCACAAATTGGAAGGAATCTAAAAATCAAAGACAAAGGAAAGGAAGAACTACTACAAATTCTTTCTTAAACCTTAGAAGTTAACAGAATTTCTGATCCTGGGGCCAGCCCGATCTTTATTAAGGAGGTGGTAGAAGGGGAGGGTGGTCCAATCACATTTCATATTTTTTTCCTTCATTTATAGAAGTGAAATGTGATTCCTCCCCAAACCCTCTCCACTCTAGATTTTCTCCCACCTCCTAAAAACGGGCAAAGATCCGAGATTCCTAAAGGCCCCTACCTGTAACTCATGAGTCCAGGTTGGCAGTCAGGCAGAGGATCACTATCGAAGGACTATGCCATCTTAAAGATTTCACACCTGGGCGACTGGAATTTCGTAGATCCAGCTCTTTTCCTCTGGCAAGGAACAGATGGGGAGAAGGAAAAAAAAACAACCACACAGAGCCACTGGCAGACTCACCATTTCATCAGAAACATGAGCTCTCCACTGGAGTCTGTAGCTCCAATAATCCGCTCCGGCTCCAAACCCCGAGCAAAACCTCGTGGCTTTTCTGACTGGAAAAACCAGATGGGTAGAACAATTTTATATACATAAGATTGTTATTCAGACTAGAATTAGTCCTATGTCTCTGATTAATGCAATTACAAACTTTTTGGCCAATATTTCACCAATACCTTGGCTCCAAGTAACAGGCCTTTCATCAAGGTCTGAAGTGCTTAAGGTTTTCCCATATGTGAAAAGGAACATACATCCCAAGCAAAATAAATGTTTACAACTATCTTTTCACCCTCAAAAGACAACTTTAGGCCGGGCGCGGTGGCTCACGCCTGTAATCCTAGCACTCTGGGAGGCC